GTGATTCGTCCGGTGGAATTCTGATGGTTAGGGGATGTTTGAAAAATGTCAGTGGGAGTTGTCACTGTACGTAGAAACCAGACAGAATTATCGCTTTTTCAGCACACCAAGACTTACGTGACTCAATATGCAGCAGTTAAATTTGTGAGCCACATTCATTTGTGTTGAATTCAAATTCAGTCGAGGTTTCTACAGTGCAATATTAAGCTTAATTTCAACATCATACTTTCTCTGCTGTTTAGTCGACTAACAAACATGAAATTCAAATCAACATTAGCCTTCAAAATTGTCAATCATTGCATGTATGTCCGATCAGTTCAGAAACAGTTTAACTTTATTTTATACACACTGACAGTACATAATTTTTAACATATCTATACAAATATATATTCGCTCTTCAATAGATTTACTGGTAATGTAGAATTTTCACAGTTTCTCTTATAAGTTAATTGTTTAACCATACAATTTATATAACAGGCTTATGATAGAAATCATAAAGACAATATTAGTGTGTTCTAAGAATTGTGGAAATCATTGCACTGACCAAGTAATTATGGACATAAGTATTGACAATTCACATTCATTCTTCTTGCAACATATTAGTGAGAATCGTTGCCGATTTCGTAAAAAATCGAATAATATTGGTACTTACCACAATTCCAAGAAGTATACGTAGCGGGATATATTTCAATTGAATGTTTGTCACGAATACACAGATAAATAGAAGCATAGCACTAACTGAACTGAAATGAATTTGTAAGCAACACTAGTAATTAATCCCAACAAGTAGTAGAATATTTTTGGATTATTCCACTGCCTGATGAGTACATTACAAGACATATTAAGCATTAAACATTTCGCAAGTGTATGCTTCGAATATGATGACTTAATACCTGAGTGACGAGGTACAGTGGTAGAAACCACTCCACTTGAGACTCGTGATATACATGTAATATTCTGAATTCACTACTTGCTTCATGATGTAAGCGGTTCTTTTTCTCCTTAGACGTGACAGTTCTGATTGATCTCACCGAAGGAGTACAATAAAGCGGTAGAGAATTTATATTCGATATAATATCACACTGAAGACTATTTAAACTTGGGGAAATTGATACGTACTGATGATGACAATATACAAACTGACTTGGTATCTAAGCAAAATCAGAGTCCAACTTTTTATTAATTGCCTAGATCATGCCACAATGTGAAAAGTCTTCGTCAAAAATCTTGAACGGGTGATAATTATGTAATTATACTAAATTATCCAATTTAATGAATGCTTTCCAATGAATGTTCTGTATGTTACTTCCTAAAGACCTGTTGACTGTGATGAGATGGAACAATACAGTTAGAACAAACGTATTGTTGCCGATGTGTTTACGTGAACACAGAGAATAACCGTCGTAGTTCATCACCTAACACGAAACCGCACAAACAGGCTTTGCTAGTGAAAAGAGAGGAAGAGCACTAATTATGTCCGTGAAATAACATTTGAAAGTGAACAGTTTATTGGTTTACCAGCTCAAATTGTGTTCTGAAAAACAGGAAAGGGACTTAGCGACTTTAGGCAGGAAACAGCAGCATTGCCATAGATGCATCAAAACACCGCAAAAGGCATAAAACGTCAAGTGTTTTTACCCGGAGTCAGTGAGATGAAATGACACCTACTTTTGGAACCATTCCAGAAGCCGGTCAGCTTACGAATCGTCTTTCAAAGAAAGCAAGTAAAACCGTCGAGATATGGGGTGTCTACACGATGTTCAAAGAAGGGAAGGCTGCTCAAACTGCCAAAGAAACGAAAAGATAAGCTAAGGTGTTGAGAATCTGTGACGGCGAATGCAAACGTAGTCAACTGTCTAAATTGTTAGCTGGAAAATCAGTAATGTACTTCAATCATGCAGATGAAAACCACAAGTACAGTTAGGGAGTAAGTATCATGATTTCACGAGCAGCGTCAGAAATTCTTATCTCTCACAAGGCATAACCAGCAAGATCCAAGGCAAAAGGTTGGAAATTCGTACGCATCCTGCAAAAATGTAAACTGCGAGATACCTTTGCTGCAGATATCAGAGACACATTGTAGATGTTACACAGAACCACCATATATGAAATTGATGTTGGTGAAAACCTACTCCTACATTTTGCGAAGAAAGAAGAAGCAAGAAAAAGTATTGTTCTCTAGAGACATGTGATAGCCTGTAGAGGAGAGAATGATGGTGAAACATAAGATGAACCTATTCAATGACAGACAACTGAACGCCAGCCAAGAAGAAAAGCGGACCAGATGGAATTCCTTTTGTGGCACTGCAAATTGATCTCGACATAAAAGTGGATATCTTCAGGCTACTACCACAGAAGCAAAGGGAGGAAAAGAACGCACCAGTTGAAAGATAGGCTTTTCTGTGAAACTACCTAAGAAGTACTTCTTAGACCATTGTAAAAACTGGATGCACCCAGAATAAAAACGGTATTCAGGAAAGGCAAATCATATACTAGCCGAATCGCAATGCTATGCATCATCACCGAATACAGCATAGAATGACAGTCACTTCCGTACTTCATCTCTGTTTACACTGAAAAATCCTTCCGCAGTGTTATCAAAAAGTAATTTCGAAATGACCTCAACTGTTTGGAGTCACTCATGCTTTCGCCAACTTCACTGAATAGCTATCCGACAATGCAACATACCAATTTATTCACGGTGTGAAGGTCAGGGATGCTTCAGAAGTGAAGAAATGAGTGAGACAAGACTGAGTACTATTACTGTTGATATACGTGATTATGGCTGAACAGTGAACATGTTGGGCTGACAGGAAGATTCATCAAGGTTTTACCGTCGAAGACGACTCATGTGTAATATAACACAAACTTGAATGTCTTCAGGCAAAAATCAACCAGTTAACGTGCGACGCAGCTAGAGCCGAAATTTTGAGTTGAGAAGTTGTGTTTGCTCACCAACCAAGAACACACACTAATTGCTATTGAAAAAACATATATGAGTGAAGTCACCACATTCACTCACCTTGGGCGACATCGTTTTAAATACCGAAGCACGAATGCAGATATAGACATAGGGTAGGGAAAATAAAACAGAAGTATATTAACTTGCAATCTGTGTTGATAAATACCACAATCATCATTGGGAACAATAAATCATAATTTTTTAAATTTAATTTTCGATTACAGCTTGATTTAACACAGTATTTTTGGTACAAGTGTGGAACTTTTAGCATGGATACCAGTAGCCTAAATTTTGCAAGCCAACCATAGATATCAGGTGTGCGTGGACAGGGGATCGAACCTCGGACCAATACTGTGCCACCGACGCATCGGAACTTCAATTTTCACGTCAAGCCAACGCCCTTAAAGTTTTGGAAGAACTGGTGCGCGCGTCACGGAAAGTATTTTAAACTTGCTCAAAACTTTCACCAACATCTGCGTTTGCTGGTCACATACTAAACATTTTATAGTCAGTCAGAAAGGACAAAATACGAAGAACTGTGGGAATTAACCAACCAAAAACTTATCGCCCAACAAATATGATGGAGGAGTGGAGGTGCTTCTGGCAGGTGACAGGCCTTTGACCAGAACCGAGATGGAAATTGGTTTATTAGGGCTACAAGCATAAAATGTCATAGATAGTGTGAAATTGTAAATGGTCATTTAGCCAGCTAAAGTAGTCTGGAGAGGACCAGATAAATTGTGGACGTGCTGACGAAATCCTTTATTTCACTCATAACCCATGAGAATAATAATAATTATAAATTTATTCCACTTGTCACTTGATAAAAAATCAATCAACTGATTAGGAGAACTTACTAAAGAATGTTTATCACATAGTCGTGATCTTTGAAGAATTTGCATACCGCTGATCTGTAAATCAAAGTAAAATTTGATTGGTTGCCTTAATCTAATCCTACACTTGAGTAATCAAGACGATTGCACTGACTGCAATGAGTATCATGATAATCAAATCTACGAAGAACTAGAAATAACAAATGCGTTTAATAGATAACGATATTCTTACCCAAGTGTAAAAGCTGGCTGGTTCCCTTTGTACCTTCTCATTCTTGTAAGCAAATGCGTTGAGCACGACCATCTTTTGATATTCTGAAATTTCAAAAGAAAAAATGCTGACAACACGATTGAACAGAAATGAAAATGAGGGATTTATTTTATTATTATTATTATTTTCCTTCATGTTCTCCAGCGGAACATAGAGCTTCAAGCTAATGGCTTGAAGTTACTGTAGCAGTGTTTGTTTTGCAGGATGGGGTTGCTAGCCTCATGCCCAACCTTTCTTCCTTATCAGAATTATATCTGGCCTAGAGAGGTAAAGGAGTGCGTCGGCCGGAGATCGAACCCCAGACCATGTGCATGTTGACGAGTGCCCTAACAGCTATGCCAACGATTTACTACAATGTGTTTCTCCGTGGATTATAACCTCAAAATTTCTTGAAGAAATACACGAGTGCTTTCAATTTATACATGCATTTATAACTCATAGATAGAGTGAAGAGTTTTTTTGGTTATCATTATATCATCATCATTAATGACGCTCAAAACGTTTGCCCCAATTATTATTATTATTATTATTATTATTTGATTTACAAGATTACCGTCATTGGTTAAAATTCTTATGTATAAATCTATGTAAATAAGAGTAAAGACTAAAGAAGATCTAATTGAAAACAATATTTTTAGCTCTTCTGTCTTGTTCTAATAGGTAATGACTTGATGTCAAACTAAAACAAACACTTCTTGAGAACTATTGAATATTACTCATGCGAGGACACTTCAGAATCTAACGTTGTTTAGGAAAAAATTATCGTGTCATCATAATCAGTGCTTTACATCTAGAAGTATTTTGGACGAAATTGGTCTTTCAAAGAAACTGTATTGTAATAGTGAACGAGTACTTTTACTATCTGAACGCCTCTAATGTTTTGTGAAATTTCTGTCTCATGTGACTAACTGATTTCATAATTTTCTTCTTCAGGATGCTTGGCTCAATCCCCACAGCAGTGATTATTTTTGTCAAAGCCGTTCAAGAGCGCTTAGCTTTGAATATTGGTCTGATAGTACTTGCTGTAAGTTTCACATAATGCAAATTCTCTATAGCATAATCTTGCACAAAACACTGAATGCACTAAAAGGAGGCTGTCCGTATGATAAAACAGCTAATACTGCTGTTCGGGATCACTGATACAGAAATATCTGTAATAGTTCATTTGAAAGGATTGACTACAAGGAATTAAAATCTCATTTATTGTAAAGGCAAGGTATTTATATCGACCAGCTTGATACAGCTTGCATCGCTTATTACAAAGCAAATGCATAAAGAGCATGATTTATGTCTTCGATGCTAATGTGAAATCGTAGCTACAATAGGATTCAGAGACTTGATTCATCACTGAAAGCATTTCCAACAGCCAACTATGGCCTTCTATCAAGAAATGCTTTCGATGATTCTATACTGAATATCAGACTGTGAGTCGAAGATGATTAGCAACGGTGAAATCTGACAACATATTTTCTGATACGAATGTAGGAAAAATTGGAGATGGATAGAGCATACGCATGGGGATATGTTCAGTGACAACAAATGTTGTCACCTAAATTAGAAAACAAATGATGTAACCGGTGGTTGAAGGCCGATTTTCGGGAAATCATGTGAAGCCTAGGTGAAGGCTGACGTGGGATGGCATAGCTAGGTTCAAATATTCTTTAAAGAAGAGTTGCTGATTTATTCCTATATTTTAAATGGGAACTGGATGAGAAACAATAATAAAAATATAAGGCTACCACTCTGTGTTGTTAATAAAATTACAATTATTATTTCCAAATATAAAGTATTTACTGTTAATTTCATCATAAAATCCTTAATTATCCATTAATTTAATGACAATATAACAATAGTTTTATTACTTACAATACGTTTAGACTATATGCACAATTTGCATTGTAAATTATTGCATATCTGCTCTTCATCGAGTATTTTCAATTAAAACAGCCAGTTCCAGTACATTATATTACAAAGTGATGTTAGTTCTGAAGAATAAAATAATCCACTACGGTATTTTTCTGCAGTCGCACAGAAATGGTCAACGATAGGCTGCAAGCAAATCAAAAATTTGCATGAAAGCATTTCGAGGCTCACAGACGTAACTGAATGAGTATAACAACAAGAACTAGAGAAAAGAAGATTTATTGTCTTCGATGGAAATTCAGACAACTGACAGATTCAAGGATAAAAGGATAAGGTTGTAATATTATAGTTTCTTCGCACAATTTCTCACATTTCGAAAAGTAATAATTCTAAAATGTGAAAGATCTACATACTACCAATGTATTGAATTTTCGTAAATATATTAGCGCAAATTTGTCTCATTAAACATCCTAATATTTTCGTATTTAAATCTAATCTATGGTCAATACAGGTTTTATTATTGTCTTTCGGAATACCTGGTCTAACAGCCGATAGGGATTATGGAATATTTTATCATGGATTCTGACGATGGCTATCTCTTTCACTGCACTGATATTAGGGTACAAAATGGAAAAAATTGACTTAGAAAGCGAGGATTATAGTTCTGGGATTTGCTGGTGGAACAGCAGCGTTGGGTGTCATTGTGTGGATTGCATTAAGAGTTGCTCAGTATCCGGTAAGTGACTTACTTTACTTTTTTTTAACCTTACTTCGGCTATCTCCTACGGGAGGATGAGCCGGCTTCATGAACCATGAAGTTTCATGGGAATTGGGTGCGAGTGATGTCCCCAGCATCGCTCGGCCTTTTGTTTGAGATAGCAGCTCTAGCCTTTACACAACCAAGTGTGACCTACAAGGCAGTAGGAGTGGAGTAGGGAGTCCACTATCCATTGGCAGCCGGTGACCGGAGTCCGGTTCATTCGCCTTTTTGAATGGGGCCAGTCATCCAGGGCATCCAATAAGCCCTTTGTCCATACGTCTGCCGGTGAGCTTCATACGCCAGTCGTTGGAGGTTTGGAATCAGGGTTTAGCCATCTCCCCTAGACTGTCATCCAATGGACAGTCAACCCGGTGAAGAGCGCCGGGCATCCGCTTTTGCCCTCTCACTTTGGTGAAAAACACCTCTGCCACGTGAAGGCAGTGAGTAGGACTTCCTCAGGAGAGGCTATGTAAGACGCCCGGTCATATGGGAGCATTTCAAGAGGTGTACGGAGGGGTGGCCAACCCGCAGCGCAAGACACCCACCCCCGACCATCCTGAGGCTTTGGAGGCAGTAAGTGACACGTGTTCTTTATAGGAATAACGATTTCAATAATTTCCTATTTTCACCGTACGGCTTATTTTACTTTGGCCTGATTACAAGGAAATAAAGTTGTCTTAGTGGAGCAAAGAGGTGTCTAGTAGCTGATTCTTCCTAGTTTCCGAAATACACATAACAGTTATAAAACATACCAACTTCAAATGGATACTGTATTATCCATGAAATACAAAAGCTTCGTGTAACGGGATGCTAATCTTCAAAATCCCTCCTGAACTGTCTATTTACAAGCATGATACTCGCTTTAATATTTGAAATGAATGTGCCCTCTCCTCCTAGAATCTGTATTATTTTCCTGACGCTTGCATGTCAACTACACACCTAATATTTGTCTGCCTTACTGTTGAAACTCAAGGCGAAATGCTTCTCTTTGCGGCTGTGTACTGGTGATGAAAATGTGTTATTATATGATTGTGATTTTGTTTGAATAAAGTCAGCGCCAGCCGACAAGAATTTCACTTCGCACTGTGTCAGGGAAGCAATTTTTACGCAATTCATTATTCTCACTTGCTTCCTACAGTCGATGTTGGATACCAGGTTTTGCTGCCTAGCCGCATTGCTGAGATACTCTTTATTGCGAATAACTATATTTCAGCTGCTATCGAGCACTTTGGGTGAAATAAGTGCTGGCGAGCTATTCAGCTGAGTGCGAATTTCGGTTTCCAGCATTCACTAAACTCCGCTACTTTCTTCTCCCTTTCATGCTTTCGAGATTGGCTCATTGCTATTTTCAGTTTTTTGCATACAACTTAAGCCTTCTGTCCAAAATTAAAGATTCCACCAGAGAATAATACACATGCTACACACCAACCTTCCCAGGGGCAAATCAGCATAAATTGATCCTGGATATTGATAATATTTATAAATATCTCTGAAACTCACGTAAAGCATCAGTCTATAAGTCTATGAAAGTAAATTAAATGTTTAACCTATATTTTTATCCGTAATGATTGCAGCTTCCTATCTCATGTTTGTTCAGTTGCAACTGTTGTGTAAAATTCTAATTATTATTACAAGTGGTTCAGCTGTATACAAAGTCACTCCGCAGTCTGAAGTACTTTGTTTCAATACCTGTAGATATTTTTGTGTCATAATGATGAATAGTTATGTACTGATGCTGAGTGTGTTATCAGAGTTTTACCCGTCGCCAATTATGTTGTGTACTCGTCGAGTAGTTAATAGTCCTGATGCGGAAAGAGGGATGTAAGAAGAACACCAGGTTTACGATGACACTTGTAGTTTCGAGACAAGGAAAATAAATGTCACACAAGAGTGTGAGTGAAATGCTACGTAGTGTACGAAACGTGGGAACAAGTATGAACAAGCATACAGTACAAAAGTATATATGAAAATGACTGATACACATGAACCAATAAATAGACAGTCTTAACATGATTGGTTGTAATGTCATGTGACAACAAGGTCATACATGTTTTTTGTTTAGTTAGTGGACAGACAAAAGCATGTCGTCAGTTATAATGAAATATTGATCCATATACATATGCAAAATTTAATAGACTGTCAAAAACAAAACACACATCACGTGGACAAATATCATGAATCCCGCTTAAGTATTGCCCAGTTTTCAATGAGTCTCAAAATGGAATTGTTTCAGGATCAATCCTGCGAAATCAGAAATCAAATGTCATATTATGCAAGAGATGAAGCAATCTTTTGGGTTTGATGAAATGGTGAACATATAACTTCAATTTCGTTTCTTTTTTCAGGTAGCTGCAAAGTATGTTCCCGCCTTAATCGTCATATTCGCTATTTTGATGGTAAGTTTGGAAATCAATTTCGCGAGCATTCATAAGTTTGGCATTCCACAAAAGGGAAATGCACTGTCATTGAATTTTACTCCTGATTACGTTATTTTTGTTATTCCTTTGGGCTCCAGGTGAAACACATGGCTTCACCTTGTCATACTTATGTATCCCTACTGTCGTCTTCACACTTATGCTTCCAATTTGTGTCCACTTGTGGTGTTTTGTTCATATCCGAATGTCACGATTATTCGGTGACTGTATTTATGGATAATTTCTATATCCTTATTAATGTAAACCAGTACTAAGATTTCCTTATATAGGCCACAATTGGAAATAATTCCTGAAATCCCATAATTTCTTCAGTCTGCACTGTTTACTTTCAACTTTACATAAAAAACACTATGCTGAGGTCAATGTTAATATCCGTAGTATGATCATTCATGTTTCAGTGTTTGCTTTTATTGTAATAGGTGTTATATCTAACTGGACAAGGTATAAAACGTTGCAGTAAGGCTGAAACAGGAAGTCTTATACCAGTTTGGTTATCCCTGATCACTTGGACATAGGTGATAATGATTTATGTATTTGTATCTATTATGTTACCAGATGGCTCAAAGTAACAGCAGATGGATGAACACGTTTTCTTTTTGCTTTTTGAATGAATAATTCCAAATTTCTACACATGTTTTTCGTATTGTTAACAAAATGATTACCATTTGAAATACATTTCGAAATCACATGATTTAAATTTATTTATTCGTTTATGGCGATATTCAGTAATTCGTTAGATATTTAAACAGATTACACATGAATTTTGACTAGATACTGATATGATTTACAGAATCATCGAAGACCAGAGAGTACTGTCATTTGTTTCGTCTGTGCTTGAGTGTCAACATAGTAGACATCCTTAATTTCTCTGAGACTGAACCGAGGAACCTAGCTGATATCACAACCTTTGATAAAATGTGGAACAGATGAAATCCTCAGAAACTGACTCTGGTACATATAATTTTGCCCTAATTCAAAATGAAAATTTTAAATCGCTTTTAAATGTTGATTAGGCGTTTTTTCTGAACAAATTCACTTACATCTTTGAACAAAAAACTTCGAATGCACATTCAAAATTATTCA